CGGAGGAATTAAGATGAGAGGCGCGCCGTAACAAGTTCCCCACAGTGTTTGCTCTTTTCCAGGGATTAAAACGATCCCTATGGGGTATGTAACAAGATTTGCATTGACCCAGTTTTTACCCAGAATCCTGCAGGAGGCCATCATTAAATAAGGACTTTAGTGAGCTTGACAATACAAGTTTTAGGGGGAAATCCTGCAGCAAACAACCGGATTAACACATTGAAAGCACTCAAGAGAAGATTTGATTTCTTAAAGACATAAAATATGTGATTTACAGAAGATCATTTCTGAATGATGAGGGATTTAAAGTTGATGGACATGAAAAAGCGAGAAGGAGCAGCTTGTGTTGGAGGAATATGATTAAAATAAAACACAAAGGGAGAGCTGGAAGAGTTAAAAAAGTCTACTACTTGAGTCACGGCTGGATGTGTGTGTGTGTGTTCGTTTAATGGTACTTGATGACCGGTCAGTGTTAGTGTGTGTGTGTGTGTGTGTGTGTGTGTGTGTGTGTGTGTGTGTGTGTGTGTGTGTGTGTGTGTGTTCGTTTAATGGTACTTGATGACGTGTGTGTGTGTGTGTGTGTGTGTGTGTGTGTGTGTGTGTGTGTGTGTGTGTGTGTGTGTGTGTGTGTGTGTGTGTGTGTGTGTGTTCGTTTAATGGTACTTGATGACGTGTGTGTGTGTGTGTGTGTGTGTGTGTGTGTGTGTGTGTGTGTGTGTGTGTGCATGAGAGTANCACACACACACACTGTTTCCACTGCAGGCGTGGTGCCGGATCTTCAGGTCGGTTGACTAATCTGTGGCTGTGTGAGACAGTCAACATTCAATATTAAATTAGATAATTTAATATTGAATGTTGACTGTCTCACACAGCCACAGATTAGTCAACCGACCTGAAGATCCGGCACCACGCCTGCAGTGGAAACAGTGTGTGTGTGTGTGTGCTGCATTATAATACACAGGTGTGTCCCTCTACCTGCCTTAAAGGTTGAGAGGTTATACGAGTTGCAATATAGAAAACTGGCATTCAAACCGGAATGTAACTAATTACTCAGTACTTTTACTGAAGTAAAGGAACTGAATATATCACACTGGTACAGACAACAGAGACACTTGACCTCTGATGGTCAATAAAACGTGACTACATGTGAAATTATCATCAAAATCAATCATTTATTCATTATCTGTATACAAGCTATGGCTGGTGTGTGTGTGTGTATGTGTGTGTGTATGTGTGTGTGTGTGTGTGTGTGTGTGTGTGTGTGTGTGTGTGTGTGTGTGTGTGTGTGTGTGTGTGTGTGTGTGTGTGTGTGTGTGTGATAGAGGGGCAGAGTGAGGCCACCGGAGAGCAGGATGCCCTGCCCCGACGGAGAACAGGCTGTGCACTGTGGATCCAGATGTTTACCTTTGACTCCATGAGTGTGTGTGTGTGTGTGTGTGTGTGTGTGTGTGTGTGTGTGTGTGTGTGTGTGTGTGTGTGTGTGTGTGTGTGTGTGTGTGTGTGTGTGTGTTCTTGTTGAATGAAATAAGTGTGTGTATTCAGATCCTTTACTTGAGTCAACGTTCTAATACCACATTCAAAATGTTAAGTTTGGGTAAAAGGTTTGAACTACTTCTGGGTGGTTTGATCTCAAGGAATGCTTTATATAAGATCATATTTTTGTATATTTGTCACACATGGGACATTTTTCCAATAACTATGGACATTTCTAACCTTTAAGTAATTCTCTGATATTCTTCTGACTTTATTCACACTTTTATTATGCTTCCTACTGCTGGAATGTTTAAAGTTGTGCTCATTTGAACTCCTTTATATGATGTTTTTTAGTTCTGTAGCAATGCATTATTTCTATATGATCATCATATGTCTGTTGTTTCACTATCCTGTGAGAACAATGTTAATCTAAAATGTCCCCAGGTTTCTCAGACAAACAGCCCTGTTATCAACTTTGTGACAATGCATTATCCAGCTGATGCAGATTAAGTGGATGAACTACTGTACTCTGAAAAGTAAGTGAAGCTGTGGAGTAAAGATGTGTACTGGTGTAAAGTCCAAGTACCTCAAAATGGTACATAAGTGCAGTACCTGAGCTTTCAAAGCCATAATGTATATTAATAACAGTGCTGCACTACAGCTGGAGTTTTATTCAAAGAAACAGGTGAGTCTTTATGCAGGTATGCTGAGTGTTATATAACCCTGGAGCATGTGCAGAGCAAACATCTGCATGTGTCTTCCTCTCTCCACGAGTACACCATGTGCTGAGCAACATGCCAATTTTCCTTTTTTGAAAGGCAAAAGTATGTGCATGAAGTAGCATTTATGTTTAAAGCCACTCCGTTTATTCCTGAATGGGAATCCGAGTGTCCTGAAACAAATGCCAAGATTTAAGAACAAGCATTTATCTCCCAGCTGTGCCTTAATGCATCACAAATAATTAAACAATTATTGTTTTCAGGATTGAATCATCAATACATCAAAGTATTTAGAAAGCATAACAGCAAGACGAAACCATGAACTGAAACAAAACTGACTAGCAGGGTCTCTAAGGTGTAATAATTATGAACATGCAGAATTTTAATTCCAAAAGAAATTGTTTTCTAGATATAGACTAATCATTTTGTCTATAAAAACATCAGACATTTCTTTAAATATCCTGTTTTGTCAGTCCAAAAATCATTTCAATTTCTTTTTTGATCAACTCATCAATGATTAGCGACATCATTTCAATCATAAATCATTCTCTGATTACAAAATATAAAAAATTATTGAAGCAGAACATGAAGAATCTTTCCTCTAATCTGGATTTGTTTCTGAAAGAATAACTGTAGTCATTTTTGATTAAGTGGTTGATTTCACCTCAAGTTGCCCTCTCTAAAAATGGATCTTCATCACGTCACAGAAACACGTAAGACATGTCCATTATTAAGTCAGGATGACGTCAAAAAGGATTGTTGAGTTGTAGAAGAATGGAGATGAAAGACGAAGATCCACCCCCACACTGAGCGTTTGTTATTATCAGAAACCTGAAGAACTTGATTATTAAAACCCTATTTGACCAGAGTAAAGACACAGAGGAGGTGGACTCTATTTGTGGTGCTAACTTGTGTAATGTTAAACTTCAAAAATGTGTACTGTTGTGGATACTTTTATATACCCAATTGACTAAATCTATTATGTGATTCAATCATTTGCTGTTGACATGACATAAGGAATGTGAGAGAACCAACACTCCCATAATCCAACTTGTATTGAACACTCCCAAGCTGGTAAATCAGCATGTGTACATATTAGAGTCTAAAATGTAACCACAAGTTATTCTGACTTTAGTAGAAGTACTCATTTTGCAGAATGGATTGACTTGTAAAAGTAAGAAATAGAAGCTCAAAGTGCCTTAAAATTAAAAAATAAAACCATTAAGATTTAAAGACATTCATAAACAGTCATTAAAGAGCCAAGAAAAAAACAATTAAAACAAGCAGAAATGGAACGAGACAGGTATACAACACAACAGTAAAAAGTTGAGTATAGTTTAAGAAATTGATAGTTATTTCATTTTGAGTATTACTATTAGTGTTTTTTATTTAATAAAGGATCTTCAAACTACTCATAACTAACTGGGAACTTAAATAAAGTAAAGTAGAGAAGGGAAAAGCAGAAGTTTGATTCCCACACATGCTGCCCACAGAAGGGGAGGCTTTACGTCGTTGTGAGGAATCTCAGGTCAACAAACCCCCGGAGAGAGAAACTGAGAGTGACCCAACAAAGAGCCTCACATTCAAACACTGCCGTCCTCATGCAGCCCCTCTCTCCCACACACACACACATACAGTTCATGCCTCTCCTATATGTATATAGAATATTCTCCTCACTCAACAAGAGCATCTTAGTCCTGCTGCTCCACACAACCTGGCCTTTGTGTGCTGCAGGTAAAAAGATTTATATTCATATGTTCGGTCTGAGGATCAGAACACACGGAATGTGCCTCTGTTCATTGGTGCATACATAAACATTGTTAAAAGTAAGAATAATATTGAAATAAAAGGTTAAAATCCAAGCGGCACAGCTCAATATCAATATCCTCCTAATATAGGTCAAGATGTAAAAAACCCTGCATTTCCCATAATGCAACTTTCGTTTCAAAACAGACGACTTTCAGAAAGTGGAAATACCATAGTCTATCGATACACTACACGTAAATGATACTGAGGTAAAGGAACAGAAGAAAATGTACTCAAAGTATCAAAAGTATGCGTTACGCAGAATGGCACATTTAACAGTTTTTGTATTCTATGTAGAATATTATACGATTTATTTTTTAATCACAAACCATTACTTGTCAGAGCTTTTCCTGTTGGGGATTGTTATTTTGGGGCCATTTTTTTAAACTTTTGTATTAGTTGTATTGTACTTCAGTGTAGCATACATGATATTAATGTAAAGCAGTTAAAAATACAATATGCCTATCTGAAATGCAGTGGAGTTGAAGTGTCAAGTTATAAAGTGCAGTACTTGAGGTTCAGATGCTGCTCTTTAAAATGAACTTGTGTTTTGTGTTTGTTTTTTTGCCATTATCCTCTCCATCACGTCATTCACTTTTGGACAGCAAACAAACATAATAATCCTGTTACAGAAAATAGCAGCATGATTAACTCTGATAGGAATCAGACAGGAATTGTAGCCTCGAGACATTTAAAAGGACGTACATTTACAGCTTTTACCTCACAAGTCTTTACCTGTCTGCAAGTTTTCCTAGAAGAGTGCGAGTGTCTGTGTGTGTGTGTGTGTGTGTGTGTGTGTAGTTTAGACCTCTGTGGTGTCTGATTCCTGATATGCAAGCCAGCTGGATCTTATCCCCAATAAACCCAGATGCACCCTTCCTTGTCTCCACACACACACACACACACACACACACACACACACACACACACACAAAAACCATTTCCCTCCCACCTCGTCTCAATCAAAGTGAGATAAAGGTGATTATTTCTCCGATCACTCACATTGGTGTAGAGCCCACAGTCGATCTCCCCGGCCTCCGACAGCTCACTCAGGTTCCGGTCCCAGTGCAGGAACGGCTCACTACTATCCAGGATCTCCATGTTTCCTCCACACACACTCCCTCTGCACTTCTGCGGGGTTTGTTGGTGTTTTTGCAGGTGAAAAAGCAGTGAAAACAGCAGCGGGGCTTAGTTGCAAATGTAGTCAAGTCGAAAGCTCCAACTCCGCCAAAGAAAAAAGGTCCCGACAACTTGTGAAATAAATGAATTAGAAACACGTCTCGTTGGGTTAAACTTTGGGGTAAATGTGTGAGAAAGTTGCAGCAGTCAGACAGAAGTGTTGTTGTTTATCATCCCATCTCTTTCTGCAGCCCCTCTACTTTTCTCTTTTCCTCCTCTTCACAGCCCAGACACACAGGAATGTGGATGGGCGGAGTCACACAGAAACGGAGAAATAAAATGAGAATAGCACAAAACATTCAAGGAATCAGAAAAAGTGAGAGCGTCTTTTAATGTAAATGCAATGTAATACATCGTTGATTAAACGAAGAGAACAAATATATATATATATATATATATAGTCCATGGTAAAATGTGAAGTGACTCAATTGTTCCAGCTGTTTATGGCACTTGCATCAAATAGCTAAAATAACGAACTAGGCCTATCATTTCCGGTAATGGATTTCAAAATAAAACGATCACTATTCATAAAGTAAATTGAAGTTCGATGCAATATAAAGTTTTGATAACAGTAGAAAATAATAAAATTTGAAATTATAAAGAAAGAAACTATGTGTATATATTGGTTATATCATTTTATTTTTACCCTAAATCCTGTAATTTACAAGTTTTGTGCTTTTATTTTTAAATGCACTCAACCTATTCCGGTCTCACGCAGCTTTTTAAAAACTGGTTTCTAAACAACTCATGGTCCCGCCCATATCAAGCTTCCTGACCAATCAGATCATTTTTACAGCCTTCCTGGCCTTTAACTGACAAGTAGCGCAGCTAATCAGTAAAGACTTTGAGAAAACCTGCAACCAATCGTTTTTAGCCAAGAATACCTTTAGCTTCAAACCGCCCCCACTGTCAGGGAGCCAGCGAGCATCCACTAGAGAAATATGGTTAAATGTTCTTATATATTTGAATATGTAATTGTTTGTATACGTTATTTCAACTTTAATTATTCTATTATTGATTTTTTGATAGTTTGTTTAGAATGCTTATGTTTTACTTGTTCACCTCTATAAAGCGCATTAAAAGTGAATTTATGAGCAGTTATTAACACAGTGAAATTAAATCATGAGTGAAAATGAACAAAATGTTAAGACAAAAATATTTTTGAAAAAAAAGGTGTATTATAGCAACCATTACATGGAAATTAACCAACAGTATTGACATGATAGAATCAGTCTCAGCCTGGGGAGGAAATGACAAACCGATGAGAAATAACAACTGACAAAAAAAGTGACAAAGCAGAAAACAGGAGTAGACAGAACATAAAAATCAAACAATGTTCTGTTTTAATGCCCTATTCAGGGTTATCAACACAAAAACAAAATGCAGGAGGACGGGAAGAAAATAGCTAATTGAATTGAATGCGTTTCCTGCATGCTGGTCTCTTTCTTTTCTTACTCTAAAGAGTTTCAATCATCCGCATATTTCTGTCCAGTTAAACCACCTTCTTTCACAAGAGATTTGCATAAAGAGAAGTGCAAGAAATACATATAACACAGAGACAAGTCAGACCAGTACAACAAATGCTTTACTTTGTTTAAATAACCAATAACATTGAGGCTGAAGAGATGTTGTATTAACTAATGCAAAAATAATCATTCCTTGGGTCTATGATCCTAAACGTGAGTGAGAGTTGCTCTTAAAAGTGTGACAACTTTTACAACCTCTTGTACTTTTTTCAGTGTATTTTCACCTCTTTAACTATTATTTCAACACTATCTCACACATCAAACAGGGCCTGAGATGTATCCTTGTAACATTATTGTACAGGTAGCACAATGAAATAATAATCAGTGTGTCTTTTGTACTTCACAGGTGGGTTCTTTCTGCTTGTCTTGATGCTTTAAAGTCAGCAGGAGGCGCCACAGTCAATGATGCGAGTGTCGCAGTATATCCTTTACTTTGTTAACTTCAGGTTCCCAATCTTATTTTTGTATAAACAAGAGAATAAAAATAAGAATTTGTCTTGTTGGGTGGAGACAAAGAGGAAAGGGCTTCATGATTTTTCTCGAACGTTGTCACTCAGAAAGACGATGTTGTCTGAAAAAGGGAAACAAATCAGTTTTCTAAACAAATCCGACATTAGAAGAATTTCCCTAAAAATGTAAAATTGTCTGCAGCCTTCACGTTGAACAGTTAATTCAGACTTTTAAACCCACATTTACATTTCTAAAATTTGAACTTATAAGATCTGACTTTTATCAAACAGTTACTTCCGACATCAAGTGTTAAATGACATCACTTTAACAAAGAATTAATCCAAATCCTGCACTTTCTGCAGATTTCCAGAGTGCATATTTAACAAGGTAACTCTGATTTATTACCCCACAATTCATTGCAATATGAACGTGATGTTGTATTTTTGGCCCAAAAAAACGAGGTTAATAAGAATGTGTAGACAACCATTATTTACAACGAGAAAAATATGTTGAAATAAATGCTTTAACAAACATGTAGAAGACATTTTAATAGAGGTGATCGTAATGCATTTGATTATGCAGCATACACTTTAAAAGCTGTGCAACGTTATATGTAGGCTAGGAAAAATGGCCAACATATTAACCAATACAAGGACTTTATATCCGTTTGTTCCATACCTGCGATGATGGTGGTGGCCTGGCGTCTGACTTGGTTCTTGTCCACGTATTCTCCGTAGTCCAGTTTCCCCTCCACCAGGATCCTGGATCTGAAAGAGAATGTCCCGATCAGTTGCATAAAAGGTAAATCTTTTCCGAGGTCAGGTTTGGCAGAAGTATATAGTGATGGCAGATTTATTTTTACCATCTTGCACTTGGAAATAACACTTTGCTAAAAAAAAAAAAGGCAGGGCACCGAAATAAGGGGCTTGTATCTAAAACCTCAAACTGGAATGAAACTCTAACCGGAAATGACCTAAACATATTACTAGTCTATTGCTCAAAAAAATGTTATAATGAAAAACAATCCCAACAAAATTAAAAACGTAACACTTTAGTTCAGTTTTAGACCTTCACATCGAGTAAAAAGTAAAACTCCACAGAGAAATCATCCACTTTGGACTAAAGTGTCAACTATATGCATGCTATAAAAATAAATACTCTAACTACCTCAAATTACATTTTATTAGGGCTGTCAAGTTAAGGCGTTAATAACGTGTTAACTTCAACTGAAACAAAATAAATTGACGCCACTAATTATTTTAACGCGCGATAAACGCATGTTTATTTGTCCTCGGTCCGCCCCGTAGTTTCAGAGCCCAAAGGTTTGACGTTGATGTTAGTTGGATGGTGGGAGATTCTAGCGAGAGATATGGATACAAAAAAAGGTGTTTTCAACAGCAAGCCAAGCACACAGCTGATGCTGACAGCCCCGCTCCCGCCCGCTTGAAAGTTTGCCAGGGAGACGCCTGGACAACAACAGCGATAGCTAAATGGGTGCCTACAGCTTAACATTGTGGAGGACGAGGGGCTGCGTTAGATCATTCGGATCGCGTCGACTGCACATCACAGCGCATTATTTTGACCCACAGTGGGAACTTCAGTCTCATGCTTTGACTGTTATGAAGACAGAGGAGCGGCATTTCGCCGACAACTGTAAACAGGCTTGTCTGTTTGAGCAACTGGCTCAGTGCAAAAAAGTACACAGGGTTGGGAGAGAGTGTAAGAGAGAGAGAGAGAGAGGTTCCAGGTTCTTGTGTTGAGAATATTCAGGAGAATATTTGTCATTGTTCAAATGATAATAAACAAACATTTGCATAAAGCATATTTTTCCACTCATGTTGATAAGAGTATTAAAAACTTGAAAAATATTCCTGTAAGGTACATTTAGAGCAGATAGAAAATGTGCGATTAATTTGCGATTAACTATGGACAATCATGCGATTAACCGCGATTAAATATTGTAATCGACTGACAGCCCTACATTTTATACGACAATATCAATATGTCAATATTCAAGTTTCCTGAATATCAATGTTAGACTGTTAATGTATAAAAAGGCCAGATGGGAAAATCTGTTCTTGGTTACAGAGTTTCTGTTAGATCTTTTTTTTGTCGGCCAACATGTCCGTTAGAGTTTCAATCTTCCGGACAAAATGAGAAAAGTGGCGGTCAAAGGTCTTCTTTGTTATTTATTGAGCTTTAAAACAAATTGATAACAACTATATTAAAAAAAACTAATTATAGTAGATTAACTACATTATTCAAAAGTGTACAGTAACTTTGGATAATAAACCGAGCCTCTCTTTTCCTCCCTCCCTCTCCTGACTGCCCGTCTGTGTCTCATGCGGCTCACTGATCCAGTAATGAGTGACCCGGGCCGAGAGTAAAGAATAAACATATTTATAACTAGTTTATAATAACTGGTTCCAGAGGTAGATAAAATAGCTAAGTGTGTTAGTTCTAACTTGAAGTGTGTTTTGCTCTGCTCACTGGTCCTTTACAGCGGACAGAGCTGCATCATGTGGAGCTGCAGGTGATCATAGAGCTGCATCATGTAGAGCTGCAGGTGATCATAGAGCTGCATCATGTAGAGCTGCAGGTGATCATGTAGAGCTGCAGGTGATCATAGAGCTGCATCATGTAGAGCTGCAGGTGATCATAGAGCTGCAGGTGATCATAGAGCTGCATCATGTAGAGCTGCAGGTGATCATAGAGCTGCATCATGTAGAGCTGCAGGTGATCATGTAGAGCTGCATCATGTAGAGCTGCAGGTGATCATAGAGCTGCATCATGTAGAGCTGCAGGTGATCATAGAGCTGCATCATGTAGAGCTGCAGGTGATCATAGAGCTGCATCATGTAGAGCTGCAGGTGATCATGTAGAGCTGCAGGTGATCATAGAGCTGCATCATGTAGAGCTGCAGGTGATCATAGAGCTGCATCATGTAGAGCTGCAGGTGATCATAGAGCTGCAGGTGATCATAGAGCTGCATCATGTAGAGCTGCAGGTGATCATGTAGAGCTGCAGGTGATCATAGAGCTGCATCCTGTAGAGCTGCAGGTGATCATGCAGAGCTGCGTGTCTCTGTCAGCAGCAGCTGATCTGATCTGATCTCTCTCCCACGTCCGATTAGACTTCTCTCGCGTTTATGTCCATATCGATCAGATCTAGTTAGTTCTGGCTAATGATATAACTGCCTGCTGGCACCTAAACAATAAGCGTTGCTTGGCAACGGGTGTGGCGGCAAAGTATAGCGCAGCATTATGCATTTGTTTACATGAGGGGTCAACATTTCCGCTTCAGGAGGATAAATCTCTTTCTCCACATTAAATGTTAGACATTAGAATGTACTCTTGTCTGTCACAGAAGTGGCGCAACTGATGCGGTATTGAGGGGAAATTATTTAAACCGGAGAGATTTAGATTTGCCGGTCTTCAGCATATTTTACCGGTCATAGTCCGGTAATTACCGGCTAACGGAAACTCTGTTTGGTTATATTTAACTTTACTCTTTGAAATGTAATTTATATATCTGACAAACAAAAAGAAATATCATTACAACGATGTGAAAACATAAAATCTAAAAAAACTGCCTGCAATGGTTTCCAAACAGGAATATTTCACGAAAGAATCTCTCACTGAAACACATTTATATCATTCCACTGCTGTCCATCTGCAAAATGAAGGTTTTACAATTTCATGCAAAACATTTCTAGATTCCTCGCTGACAGAAACCAGCAGCTGTGTAAGCAAAGGCCTACAGTGGATCATCCTGCAAGAGATTATCTTTGTACGGAGGTTTTTCAGTCTGTATTTCTGTTATGAAACTAAACCACAGGAATCTTCTGTACCCTCAGATAAATGTAACCACAGCTGCTGTTCTTTACAAGGCGAAACTAAATTTGTATGTAGGACGCTGGAAAAATACATTTTAGAATAGAGTATCACTCTTAGAGAAGCAGTGTTGCAGACATCACATTGTAGAACCCCCCTTCGGCTTGCTGTACGGTATAATATTAAAAAAGTAAGATAACTTAAATAAAAAATAAGTAACCAGTCGTACCCTTTCTTCACGTGCTGGTAGGCCACGTCTCTCAGACCTGGTTTGAATATGGACACTCGATGCCATGTCGTCTTCTGACTGATGTCACCTGGAGACAAAAAACAGCCCCTCATTAAAGATGGACACAGTGCATTACCAAAAACCCATAAAAAACATCTTACTTATGATGTGGTTTTATTAAATGTGCCAAGTAGGACTGTCTTAGGGAAGAAAGCTTTTAGTTGTGCAGCTCCACTAACTTGGAACAGTCTGCAAACATGTTTAAAACTGAGCACTTTGGTTCCCCTGCATCATTTTAAAACTCGGCTGGGTGACATGCTGTTTGATACTCATGGTACCTGTCACTGTAAATAGATTTGTTACATGTGTAACCAATGTGCTGCAGGTCACCCTTGGGGCTTTCACCTGGTTAAATAAAGGCTACAAACCAACAAACACTATAAAAATGCTATTGTTTTTAAACTGTATTAATTTAGCACCCTAGAGTTGTAGCTCAAAGTGCTTTAACACAAAGTAAAGAAACCAGAGAATAAAAAAAAAAGAGATACAAATGTGTGAAATACTCCAACCTAAAACAAGGAAAGACTCAACATTTAAAAAAAAGAGTGACAGTTATCAGTGACAGAAATCCCATTTCTATACGTTGTTGTGTTTTTTGACAATGTTGCTCATTGTTGTTTTAAATCACATTTTACTATACTATATAATGTTATGCACGTTTTTTGATATTGGCCAATAATAAACTTTCATAAGAATTGTTTTGTTTTTAATCTACTACCGTATACATTAGGACCCGTCTGATCCCTGTTGAATAATCTATATTTTTAAATCCTGCACATAGGAAATCAGCGCTTTATGATCTGTTAAAGTCAACATTNGTTGTGTTTTTTGACAATGTTGCTCATTGTTGTTTTAAATCACATTTTATTATACTATATAATGTTATGCACGTTTTTTTATATTGGCCAGTGTGAGAAAAAGTTTTTAGAGAGTACTTGTCCATGGACAAGTGAGTTTGGCAATTTACTTGTCCGAATAC